GTGGACGTTGTTGAGCAAGCCCTGGTCGGCGGCGCCCTCACCAGGCTGGAAAGGTGAAGGAGGAGGAAGAGCGCCGCAGGTAAGAGATCACCCTGAGCAGCATCACCGAGGTGGGTGTGAGCCTGGCACCTACGGAGAACACAGGGGAACATAAGGACACCCGCCTGCCTGGAGGGCGAGGCATATGGTGAGAGCCAAGTCGCATAACGACAGCGAGCCCACACGACTGATCGCGCTCTTGAGCGCCAAGCAGAGGTGTCTGGATCTGACGCCGTGTGGTGTGAGGAAGAACACCAGGCTTTAGGGAGATTCGTCTTCCTGTCATGATGTGGATGTTCCGGACAGAGGAGAGGGACTGGACTCGAGGAGGCCAGCTTTCAGCCACTGCAGTAATCCAGAGGGGAGGTGAACGGGACCTCTCCACGAGGAGCATAAAAGGAGAGCCAAGAGCTACTGGGGAAGACTTCTAAAAGGAAGAAATGATAGAGCTTAGTGTCAGACTTGATTATAGGGAAAGAAGGAAAAGAGAAAGGAAATAACTCACAAGTTTTTAAGACGAGAAGCTAGAAAACTCATAGCACAGCTGACATACGTGAGAGATGCAGGAAGGGAACATGACAAGCTCCGTCTGGACAAGCTGAGTCTGACGTGACCTGAGGGACTTCCGTGTGGGAAGGCTGGGCTGCAGCTGGTCCTGCAGGACTGTGGGCTTCTCTGCCCTCTCTTCTCCTCTATCTCTTGCATCCATCCTGTTCAACCCACCGCACCCCCCTGTCAGAGCTGAGGTCCTCATGCCCTCTTGCATCCAGAGAGCGCAACAGTCCTAACCAGTTTTCCTCCCTCTAGTCTCATCCTCTTTGATCTGCCACCTTTCATGTCTTTGAACTTTTCCTCATGTTTCCACTCTGCCCAGCATTTTGTTTTCCAGATTACTAATTCAGTATGTATCTAGGGACATTATAAAGTGTTGCAGTGACTTATGAATGGAACTCCCTTTGCTCATCTCTAAGAAAAGCAAGTAAAGGATTTAGATGACTTTCTAATAACCTATGAGTGTTGAATGTTCTTTCCTTCAGTCTAATGTTCATTCTGAGCCTGGGCCACAAGGACGACTGGATTTACAAGGACTGCAGTGATTTCTGTTTCTGACTCTCTCACTGAATGTGAGTACCTGTGGGGTGAAGACTGTAACTAGGTCCCTGCGAGTCCCCAGAGGCTGGTGAAATGTCTGGCATGCTAGTACTTGTTGGGATGAACTGATAGGAGCAGAGAGCTGGGATCAGATGTGAGTGAAATGAGTGAAGATGGATGTAGCCTCTGAGAGAGGAATATATTAGAGCAAAGAGTGGGGACTTTTAGAGTGACGTGTGAGCCACCCTCAGTGATCAGTGATGTGTGAGCCACCCTGTGCTAATTTTTTGGACAGAACCTACAAAGCCATCAGTCAGTGGTGTGGGGTCTAAGCAAGTCAGTGCCCATTCTATCTAAGTCCCTGCATGACCTTGGGTTCATGAAGTTTTCCACAGGGCCACCTACCTTCTTGTGTGTCCCTAAGCTTTGATCCAGATATTTTGAGTGGGAAACGTGAAGAAAAATCAGTTTTGCTATTGTTTCACAATGAAGAAAATCCCTGAAAGGGATTTTGATTTTTCTCAGGCTTTGTATTCCCTGGTTCTAGCTCAGCAGAACCTGTTCCAAAACAGGATCCATGCACTGGGGATGGAATCAGGTCACACAAACAACTTATTCACTTTACAGATAATGTTGTCCAAACTCTTCCATTGGAAAAGCCGCCTCCTTCTGTAAATATCGAGAACGGTACTATGATTTAAAGCAAAGCCAGCTGCACCTTCTCCTGGAACCTTGCAGGAACTTGTTGAAGGTGGGGAGCTTGAACTTGGCTTCTCAGAAGAAAAAACTAAGCTTAAACCTGCTTTTAAAGCTATCCTACTTGGACAGCTGAGAGACAAGAACAGGAGATGTAAGAGCCAATTATGGCATTTCAGAAATGAAAAATCAAGTCAGCCCAACTGGAGTTATTTCAGCTTCTGATAGAAAATGCATGGTATCTCTGTCTCATGGGTTCGCTACAGAGGGATTCTGGATCTCATCAACTACTTCAGCACTCAGAGTGAGCTGTGTAGTGAGTGGGCTGTCAGGCTTAATCGGTCCATTCCGACTGTGTCCTTTTTGTCCTTTTGAAATCGTTACTGAAAACCTTCTTCTCTAGATCGTGGTTACAGATGATTATCCTAATTAATTTACTATTGTTTTCTTTTTCCCCCTCTTTCTATCTAAATATTCCATTGCACTTGTCAGGTGTGTATTTTGGCAAAAGCTTACTTTCTAAAGTGGCGTAATTACCAGTCGCAGCCTTCCGTGAGTGGTTCCAATTTGGTGAGTCCAGCTGGGAAGATAATCATCTCAAAAATGCGTTCAGTGAGCTAAGGGAGACTCTAGAAGGAAGCAGAGCCCTAAGGCAAGGCTCTCCTTCTTGGACTCCCTGCCTCCAGGTTTGAGCCCTTCAGATGGCTCCTCCACACTGGCTCTGCTGCCCACTGGACACCATCCAGACACCTTAACGGGGTACATGTGGCCGCCCATGACTTGGCCTCTGCCTCTCTTTGGCCTATTTTGTACCTTTCCACCAACAAGGCCTCTTGGACAGCTTTTGTCCCTGCATCCCAAATATCTCTGCCAAAGGACAAGGAGTGAGTCTCTCCTCCACTGCTGCGTCCCCAGCCCTAGAGCAGAGCCTGGCACATCGGAGAAGTGCAGGAAATAGTCATGAACCACCGTCCCCTGGTCTGTTTTTCTCGGGCTCTGTTGGTTTCTCTTCAGTACAAGAAAGGCCCCCAGCTGGCCAAACTCCTTCTGAAGAGGGTGAGGCCCAGTGAGGGCTGTGAATACTGTTTTATCCTTTATCCCTGTCACACGTGTTGCATATCAGATAAATGCAGTAAAGAGACCCTAATGTAACAGCCGTCTGCTCTATAACCTGGGGCTCCTGCGTCAGCTCAGCCTTTGTCCCTTTGATGGGCCTCCGGGGTCCCTTAGTCTCTGGGTCTTCCACCCTTTAGGGGTTGCTATGCCCTGACTGGATCTGGGACAGAGTCGTGGACTTGGCAGAGTTGGTCTTGATGATTCTCTGCTGTCCCCAGCTCTTTCCTGCATCTCTTTCACCCACCATTACCCCAGCAACCCTTCACTCTCAAGAAAGGATCTGCAGTCTGCATCTTGTGCCTGGGGCTGGGAAGTCGAGAAATCAGCCCTGACTGTGTGCCAGGCCCGGAGCCGGGCTCCCCTACTCTTCTCCCCTTTGAGCACCCATCTTTGGTGCACATATCATCATTCCCATTCTTGACCCAAGGAAACTGAGGCCAGGGGATGCTGAGTAGTGGGCAACGACAGACAGTAGATGGGAACAAGGCGTCCTTGGGGTCACAGATCTGAGTGCTGTCTTGGTTCCGTCATTGGCTGTTGTCTTTGAGCAAGTTTCTTGGCCTCTCTGAGGCAGCGTCCTGGTCTATAAAATGGGAGTAATCGTATCAGAGAGTTTGATACTTGGTAGACCAAAAAAAAAAAAAAAGAGGTAAATGTTAAAATTGAGTCACTTCAGAATGGTCACACAGCTTGTAAGGGGCACAGCTGGGATTTGGACCTGGGCCTGACTGGTTGGAGAGGCAATGCCACCCCACTGCGGCACGGTCCTCCTGCACACACAGCCAGCAGGCCGCCGGTGATGCTTGCTGAGTGAACAGGAATTGAAGTCATTCAGCTCACAGACACTTAGGCCCCAAGAGGTTCAGTCTCAAAATGGAGGCAGCTTCAGAGACATGGAATGAAGGAAAAAAAGCAATTCAAATCCTGCTCTGTCTCACAAGAGAAGTATCACAAAAGCAGAAATTTTTTATTTTTTCCAGCTTTACTGAGGTGTAATTTTAAATAAAATTGTAAGGTACTTAAAGTGTGAACATGACTTGATACATGTGTACATCGTGAAAGAATTCTCTCCATCAAATCAATTGACACACATCCATCCCTGGGCTTCTCCTCTCTCAGCAAGTTTCAGTTACGCAGTATAGTGTTAACAGTCACAGTCACCGTTATCCATTAGATCCTCAGACCTTACTCATCTTACACCTCCAAGTTTGTACCCTTTAACCAACCTCTCCCAAGTTCCCCCACCCTCGGCCCCTGGCAACTACTTTTCTCCTCTCTGTTCCCATGAATTTAACTTTTTGTTGGTGTTGGTGTTGTTAAGATTCCACGTATAACTGAAACCATGCAGTATTTGTCTCTGGCTGGCCGGCTTACTTCACTTAGCGTGATGCCCTCAGATTCGTCCATGTTGTCTCAAATGGCAGGATTTTGGAAGGAGTTTACTCTTGATGCATAACAAAACCTCTCTGAAATCTTCTGACTCAGACTTTTTTTTACAAACCAGGCAGTAGCTCCCCATATCCCAGTCTCTCTCCTTCTTCTTCCCATCCTTGACACCACTTTTCTGCTTCCTGCCCCTTCTCCACCCAAACTCTAATAAAAAGTCAGCCTAATGTCTCTCTGTCCTTTGACTTCCTTTCCACCAGTTAATTACCTAGATTCTTCAACTCAGAAGTAAGCCATGAGCTCATTCTAGCATATATGAATCCTCTCTGCTTTTAAAAGATTGGGAAAGGTGGAGAGAGGTGAATTTAAGTTACCATGTTCTCTCTCCTGGAACTCGCTTAAACCTTAGTGGTAATCATAGTGTAAAAGATACTGTCCCCCGGGGAAGGAATTGCAAGCATCAGTGGAAAAGAGGGAGGGCTTCGAAGGCTGGGGGTTCTTCTTCTACACGAAGTTAGCCCTGGAGACCTTCCAGCCTAGAATCAAAAGCCCAGGGCCATGCCCTTGGCACCTTCCCAGGGCCCCACCATCAAAGCTCCCCTTCCTGGCAGCCATCAGCCATCTGTAGAGAGAGGAAAGGAAAGCCCAGCATGACTCACCTCTCGCCTGTACCGTTGCCAGCCTCTGGGTAGCACTGCCCAGCCCTGTCACCAGCCCTTCCTGGATTTGGGTACAGAGTGACCTTAATGAGCTAAGGTTGTTGGAGAACTGCTTTTGCCCGAGGGTGTGACATTCATGATGAGGGGAAGCCATCCTTCCTTCTTGCAGCAGGAGCCCCAGAGGGCAAATGGAATCTGGCGAAACCTACAAACTGCCTTTGCGTTTGCCCTCAGCCCCAAATCCTGGAAAGACGCCAGCCTTGATTGGGAGCCCCCGGGAGTCTCAGGAACCTGAAGTGTGGTGCGAGGTGTGCGGCCGGCAGGGCTGCTTACGCTGTTTCTGTGAGCTCTTTCCTTCGCTCCCTGATACCTCCAGTGATCAGAACAGCTGGTACAGTGCATGTTTGCACTTGCTTCCTCTGGAATTTCAGCTGTTTGGTACATCAAGGGGGAAACACTGAACACACGGAGGTCTGTATGGCAGCTTCGTCCTGAACGATGATCCTAGCTCTGGCAACCTGCTCAGCGGCCCAAGACTCTTCCAACAAACACGTCTTGAATGCTGATATATGCCAGGCATGGTAATGAACAAGACAGACATGGTCCTTGGCTTCATGGAGCAGCCAGACTAGTAGGGCAGGCAGTCCCGGAACAGAAAATTCCAACAGTGATGAACGATCCAAAGAAGTACAAGGTGCTGCGGGAGGGGACCAGGGGAACCTAACCCTGTGTGAGGGAGGAGTCTGGGAAGGCCCCCTGTGGACGTCATGCTTAGGTTGACACAGAGAATCAGCCAGGCCGAGGGAAGAGCTTTGTGGATAGATGGGACAGCGTGTACAGGCAGTGAGGTGCCTTTTACATCCAGTAAGACAAGAACATAGAGCAAAGAGCCTTGCGGGCGTGCAGGGATCGGGGACTTTATCCTAAAGGCATTGAGAAGTCCACGAAGGGTGGGCCGGGATCAGATTCATAGCTCTAAAGTGTGTTCTGCTCTATTCGGTACCTTGTAATAGCCTATAATGAAAACGAATATGAAAAGGGATATATATACATGTATATCACTGTGCTGTACACTGGAAATTAACACATTGTAAACCAACTCTACTTCAATCAAAAACAAAGAATATAGATACACAGACGGATAGATGGATAGATAGTTCTGGCCGCCCAGTGGAGAATAGAATCTACAAGCCACCATGCCATCCCTTCTCCTCTTCGTTTGGCAGCCTCTCTCTACCCCCTTGATTGGATCACTAGATGCCTGCAACATCCTGGCCTTGTGAGCATCCCTGGAATTATTTTCCATCCCAGAGAAAGTTGTCATGATCCTGCCTGGGGTAGAGATTGTCCAAGGCCAGCTGGCTGCACCCCTGAAACGGGAGCTGATGTGTGGCTTCTCAGTGTTGGGGAGAGAAGCTGACTCCTCGGTGGGAAACCCAGAGGGCTGAGCACCCAGCAGGAGGACAGTCTCAGGGGTCTGAGGGGTAGGAAAATGCATGAAGCTAGTTTAATTAGATATACCCGTCTTCCCTCTGTCTGCACTTCACTGTGACCTACTTGATTCTGCTGCAAGTTACTTGGATTCTGAGGTATTCCAAAGACCTGCTCTTCCCTGAAGGAGTAAGACATTTGAGCTGTGGGTTACCTCCAAAACAACAAAAAGCCTTCCACTTATTTTGATGGCACCGTACATCTCCTTGCTGTTGCCTAGCCCTGAAAAGGGAGAACATGTTTCGCTGTCGATTTTTTTTAATGATGCGAGTAAACACGAATGAGTGTGAAATCAAAGGTTTTAGAGTCTGACAGACGTAGGGTGGAAGCCTGGCTGTGGCACAGGCTGTAGGACCTCAGGCAGGTTACTTAACCTTCTTGAACCTCTGTTTCCTATTCTGAATAAAAAAAAAAAGAGGGAGGTTGTAACACCTACGTGGAAGGTTGATGTGACAATGAAGTGAGTTGGGAACCCAATTCCAACTCCATGCTCTTTGCTACCAGTCATTTCAGGAGCCTTTCCATCTTTATTTCTTTAGCTCTGAGTGTGGGGCTGGCACTCAGTGGGAGCCCACAAATGTGTTCATGTCATTTCTTCTGTTACCCTTCATGCCAAAGCCACCCAGTCTTTCTTTTTAAACATTGCTCAGGAATCCTCTCCCCAGTGAGGACTAACCATGTCTGAACTCAGTCACATAAGTAATCCCCAGGTTCTTACCAACAACTGTAATTTGCTCCATCCACATTTACTTTTAGGGTGCCTCAGTGAATTGTCTGGCTGCCTTCAGAGAGGCAGACGTTGCATATCTTGATTTTAAAGTGGTTGCACTGTCTTTGTAGAATAGGCTAACAGCAATGCGGTAATTCCTGTGTGTCATGCTTGGTCTTGGTTGTATTTGGTTACTATAATCTAATAACTAAAAATTAAATAGCCAGATATTCTGGGTGGGGGGCAAAGCCATTACTAATGAGAAAAAGGCAGAATATGACATAGCTCTATTGTTTAAAATTGTTTTTATTTCACAAGTAATAGATTTACAAAGTAGAAATGTTATAGATAAGACCCCATTAACCACCCTGCCTTTTCCCTAGGGACATTGTTATCAGTTTGTTGGGTGTATACGCACACACACACGTATACATATACATACATAAAGCTATATATACACATACATATGTGTATCATTATGCAAAAAATACAGCAATAAAAATATAGTATATAATATAATTTTTTCTTTCCTACGCAAAAGCTACCATTCTTACACATTTATCTTCTGCTTGCTTTATTCCACTCATTATCATGTATTGAACTTCTGTTTATATAAATCTTTATACTTTTAAATTATTGTATAGAATTCCATAATATAGTATAGGTAAAACAGTTAATTTAGTAATTATCCAGCTGACGAATGGCTACGTTAATTTCTTTTTCACTATTACAGGGATGCAAAGAATGCCGTCAACCGGCCTTTGTGCAATGGGGGGTGGTTTTCTACAGGAGACAGTGGGGACTGAAATTGCTGTGTC